TTCAAAGCACTCTACAACGACGCCGATATTGTACAAGAAATTAAATCACAGCAACTAAGATGGATAGGCCACGTGCACAGACTGCATAAGGAAAGACTTGTAAAACTGGTATGGAAGGAGATTCCCACAGGCAAAAGACCACTCGGACGTCTCACAATGCGATGGAGAGATAACATCCAAGCAGATCTCCGGAAAATGAACATTCCATTTGACCCTAGGTTGATGGAAGACCGAACAAATTGGAAAAAAGTTGTACAGTCAGCCATGGTCACCCAGGGTTGTAGGGCTACGTGATGATAATGATGACTTCAAATGTTTCTTCGCTCATTCTTAAATGTTTTTATATGTATCCAAGTCATCTCGAGCAAATTCATTCAATACTTTAACCGAAGAACCCTCATATTTCCGCCTCAAGATTCAAGGTCTAACCCACCAACGACGAGATTTTCTTGTTTTCCTATATTTAATTACGTTTCTTAAATATTCACACTCCATGCGAACGTCAGCAGTTTCTTACGTCCACCCTTCTCAATGTTTATTCCTTCGTTTGTCGTCACGTTTGGTGTTGGTGGTTCATTCTCATTACCTTTAGCAAATAGGAATCGAAAGTAGTCTGCCCATAATCCCTTCCGAATGTGTCTCGTTTTTATTAGTTGGTTCATCTGTTTTCTTTGTCCTGTGATCATTCTCCATAGAGAAATATGGAGAATTTTGTACCTTAAACATGCAAAAAATGCTCATAATACCTTTATAAAGGTGAGAGGGACGAAGAATTAGAAAATATTCTGTGCTGTCTCCATAGAAGTTTTATCTGTTTATGATATATATTAAATTAGACATTATTATACATCTGCTACCGTAACTCGCAGTAGATGAAGATGTATAATTGGGACAAAATGAGACAAAATAGCATTTATTATTTTATCTTCTATCATTATTTGCATTTATGTCATTTGTATTTAGCCGGTAATTTTATTTTCCCTGATGTTATAGTTAACATGAGTTTGTCCTTTTTTTGACACTGTCGTTCCCATCCAAAATTGCAGTTACGAAAGTTAGGAACTTTTTTTGACTCGTTTCTACTAACCAGTAGTAGTAGCAGTTTGACTAGTTTTTTTTTTCGTGATGTCTTAAGATGAGGCACATGTATATATGTGTTAACGTAGATTACAGTTATGTTTATTTAGATATCGATGAAGTAGAAAGTGGAATAGATGGAAAAGCTTGAGATCTGGAGACTGATTTATTGCCATCTGAGATAAAGCTGGTAAAGATAGATTCAATATAATCGGCTGAGGTTAGTTTTATTGCTATACCAAAACAGACGAACTTGAAAATGTATGTAGATTTTACGTTTTATGAGCCGAAAACTCAAGTTTTACTGAAGATACTTCATAACTGCTTATAAAAAAATAACGAAAAAGAAGTATGGCAAGTTTGGACATAGAGTCTGAATGGACGCTAAACAAGCTTTGTTTACCTTTCAAGTACTGTTACACAAGTGTCACGATTAACAAAACATGCTGTCGTTTCTTTTTGAAAGTTTAATCGCGTAGATCATCATAAAATAGTAGATTTTCCTCGGAACAGTAACTCAGATAATAAAGATCTTAAAATAAGAACTTTGTGTTGGAGACATAGTACCAATATTAGAACCGATGAACAAAGATCTAAAGTTTCTTCCAGAAAACGAAAAAGTGCTTGTACTTGGGCTCGCTAATAATTTTTTCGTCAAACCAGACTTTTCTACGGATTATTATGATGTAATAATTTTTCCTCTTTATAAGAAAGGAAACATGGAAAGTGCAGAAAGTTATCGAGGAATCGTTTTTTTTTTAATTGCCATATTTTCAGATTCCAGTAAGAGCCCTAGAAGGTATTCATTGAATTCTGACAGGCAACGGTGGGGGAAATCTTTTTTGGACTTCTACGTCACGGAACAAAACACTCTGGCATCTTTCAGTCGAGTAGGATATTAGGCCAGAAGACCCCAGGGCAGCGTTACCAGACCTAGGGAATTTTCCCTATATCTAGGGAATTTTGAGCCAGCTTAGGGAAAAAGGGATTTTTATTCAATTCTATGGAAAATCTAGGGAATTCTTAATATTTGTAAGAATATTTTAAAAAATCAGTTTTGTTTAATAAACTTTCCAAAATTGCACATATTATATCATCTACTTGGAAATCATACTATTGGTGGAATCACTAAATTCGGTTTATGTGATTTCCCGTCGGAAACTAGAGTGGTGAAATTTCACGAACTGCGAATTACGTCGGGGATCTACCTGGGCTAAAGTATGTACATTGGCGTCGCCCATCGGGCGATTTTTGGTTTCTAGTTTGTCTTTCTCTAACTGTTTATGTGATTCTCCGTCGATGACTACAGTGGTGGTATGTCACAAAGGACGAATTACGTCAGGGATCCACCTGGACTAAAATATCTTAATACTTTGATATTCTTACCCTTCTTAGCATAAATACAATTATAAAACACTTGTGCAGAAGGGGCAAAAATAATTATACTAAAAACATATGTGTACGACTAGAGGAACATGCTGAACGCCAAGAACCTAGAGAACTTTTCTCAAAAGTCAAGTATCTAGCGAGAGAATTCAAACCACAAACATAGATCATCAAAGATAATAATGTAAATATCATAAAAAACCCAGACGGCCTCGCAGAGGTGTGGAAACAATATTGCGAAATACAGAGAAAATAAGTTATAAAAAAGAACCTCAAATATTGAAATCATAAATTGAGGTTGCAATTAAAAAGCTAAAATCCAGAAAAGCAGAAAGATAAGATGGAATAATAGCTGAAACACTCAAAGAAATGGGAGAATTAGGGAAGGAAGTAATGCTTAGAATTTGCAATGAGATTTGGAATACCGGAAAGTGGACAAATGACTGGGGTAAACTTGCGTTTATTCCCATATATAAAAAAAGGTTGACCGACAGCTGATTGCAGTAATTACCGCACAGTAGCATTGATATCACACGCGAGCCATCATTAATAAAAGACTAAAATTAATTCTCTTACCACAAATTCCCCAAGAACAATGCGGATTCGTCCCAGGTAGAGAAACAAGAGAACATATTCTTAATATTCGTCAAATTATCGAAAAATCTCGAGAGTGCTTTGTTGACTATTTCAAAGTCTTCGATACCATAAAATGTAATAAAATGTTTCATACACTTAGTGAAATGAGTACTGCAGAACATCTAATCTATTTATTACAAAAATTATAGGTAAATAATACCTGCTAATGTAAGAGTTAATAATGTGATTTCGAAAAACATCAAATTAAAATCTGGAGTTCGACAGGGATGCATAATATGCCCTATTCTATTCAATGTGTATAGTGGACATATGCGTCAAGTTGTTGAGGAAAGTGGCAAGGTAAGGTGAAGCAACGATAGGAGGAAGAAAAATTAAAAACCTGCGTTATGCTGATGACACTGTTATATTGGCGTCATCATGAAAAGAACTGGAACAAATTATGAATTGGCTAGGCACAGTGAGTACGGAATATAGTTTGAAAATAAATATGCAGAAAACCAAAGTGATGATCATCGATAGAATCAGAAACAACCAAGCAGAGATAAAAACATGGCAGGTTACGAAGTAGTCAGGTAATTTAATTACTTAGGCTTCTTTATTACTAACAGTGGAGGATGCGAAGACTAGATCCGTCGACGCATCACAATGGCCAGATCGGCAATAGCTAAACTCTCAAAAATTTGGAAGAACACTGGCATTACAAAAAATACAAAATTACGCCTTGTTCAAGCATTGATATTTCCTATCGCCACATATGCTTTAGGAACTTGGACAATAAAAAAAAGCTGATTCGAAGCGTATAATGGCATTTGAAATGTGGGTCTACCGTAGAATGTTGCGCATACCATGGACCGCTTATCGTACAAATAACTCAATTCTAGCAGAACTTAACATAAAATTAGACTCATCACAACTATCAACCCAAATATACTGAGACATATAACTAGAAGAAGAGAAGGCATAGAGCAAATGATAGTTGAAGATAACGTAGCGGGTAAAAGATCCAGAGGAAGATCTCCAGTACGATGGTCGGACCAAATAAAAGAGATGACTGGTTATTCATTCTCCGAAGCAAAACAACACGCACAGGAAAGAGATAATTGGACAAAAATATTTAAAAAAATTACTTGACGCCACTATATGCTTACGAAGGAGAAAAGATTAAGGACGATTCTTACCTAACAAATTCACGAACAACAAATAATACCAATCGCACAGAATAAATGTTCATAACCAAAAGTCCTTATTTATTCTACAAACAATTAAAATACCAATATTTCCAACTTCTTATGTGACCAATAAAATCAAATTAGAAATATTTATAAAGGTTTTTAAAAATCCCGCTCATTCTGACGTCAGACTTAGGTGGTCCATTCTAGGCTAAATATGGTTGTCAAGTTGTTAGGGAAATCTAGGGAAATTTTAACAAAAATCCTAGGGAATTAAAAAAAAATCATCTGGCAACCCTGCCCCAGGGTAGTGCCGGATCAACCGTGTTCGGGCTAAAACCTTAACCACCGGTCCAGAGAGGTGGTCTTGCCACTCAATAAACAACTAAAATAAAAACCTAAAAATTTATAAATAACCATACCTATTACCGTAAATCAGAAAATGTTTAGACGTTAATCCATAAAGTAATAAATAATATTAACTATAAATTTAAGATCCATGGCTCAATTTCCTCCTCTATCCTCCTGTTCCTTTTTCTTCATAACTCCAGAAATCAGACAGTGTACCTACTTCTCTCCATTCTTTCTCTCCTCTCAACATTATGTTTACAATGTTTCTTTGACCAAGCCCGAAACCCATTCGCCTCGAAAACCTCGAAACCCATTGTTTATTATTCTATGCTTTTATATTCAATCGCCAAAATGCCATAAAAGCATTGTTATGAAAATCGTGACAATCAATACGTGTTACCATGGAAAGTGGATAGATATCGACCAAATAGGACAAACAACGTTATAAAATTAATAAAAACTAAAATATGTCAAAACCCACAACGATTAAAGATGCAATTAAAAGATGGGAGGAAAAAAATCCAAATCAAAATATTAGTGAAGCCTTAGAAGTTGGATTTCAATTTCAATGGCCGCCAATTGAAAAAATGGATAATTCACTATCTGCTCTAACGAAATGCCAGAAGCTCAGTTTATCAACAAATATGATTGAAAAAATTGCAGGTATAATATAAATTAGAGTATTTAAGATTTATTTTTCCCCTTTTATTCCCTTACCAAATGTTTTGGACAATATTTTGAATAAATCCGTAAGTTAATTTGCAAATCCGATATGTGAACATTTCCCAATGTTTGATTTTGTTAATTTTTATACCTATCTTCTTAATTTGTTATTTGTATATACCCATCAAAGTATATAGCAGAACAAAATTATTTGTTTTTGGGTTATGTGGATATGAAAGGTTTATAGCCTTTTTATAATGCTGACTGTAATATTCTATCTACTGTGTATTCTCTAAATGCTTTAAAACAACTCTGTTTTATAATAGTTAGATATTAGCTGTTTTTTTTTAAGTCGGGTATTTCTATACCTTTATCTTTCTATATCGAGTACTTGGACGGAAAGTTTATATCATGTTTGCCATCAGTTTTGCGAATTTTAAATTTATATTACGAATACTTAGTTAATTAATGTAACCAAGAACGAATTAAAAAATATTGTAAAATTATCTGTAAAAATGTTTTACTGGAATCTCTAGCATATTTCTAAATAGCGAAACTTACAGGTAATAAAAGTTTTTAAAGTAACCGCCAAAAATTTTTACTATAGTAAAATTCATTAAGCGGTGCAGGAAAATATAAACATTAAATCGTGTCCGAACCGGTATGAACCGCCGATAACATCGCCAGACGAAATAAAGATGGACATTCCGGTTAGTTTTTAAATATTTTTGAAGAACTGTTACTTGCATTTATGCATAAAATATTCATTAATTTTATAAAATCGGAGTATTTTTTCACTTACTTTGTATTCAGTGATAACATTAATTTATTTACTATGCAATAAACACGAATATTTGAGAAAAGAAAAAAAAATATTAAAGTGTCATAATTATCTGTTAAATTTATCGTTGTTTATATGCCCTGTACCGCTTAATGGAATAAGGTATAGTGATCTAGATCACTTATAAATGCACTCTGACCGAAACAGCTGTAGTAATAATAATTTAAAATAAATTTTGTCGAAGTGTTGAAAACAAAAGTTTTTAGTATTTTATTGTTAAATACTTACTTTTTACTTTTTCGTGTCTGGATCCGACTACAGTTTTTCTGCCCAATATCGGGCTACGTATACACCCTTTGTATTTGCGAGCCATAAATCATCTAGAGTTCACTGTGATGGGCTAAGTCTGCATACTCTCAGGTGCTCCACGTTCTGTATTTCCCCACATTCACAAAGTGCGTCGCTATCTATCTTGATGCCCCATTTAATGAGGTTTTGTTTTACAGGGGCAACACCTGTGCGTATGCGGTTGAGTGTCCGCCAGGTTCTCCATTCCAGGTTCATTCCATTAGGTCGTTCTGAATGTAGGGGGAACAGTTCGGGTGGTTCGACGCTGACATTTCTCATAAACCTTTTCCTTGATTTAAGTCGGCTGATTCCTGGCGGTTCGTCAAACCCGTATAATTGGTGCCTTTCATCGAAAGTTTGCCTGAACTTCTCCACATATTGTAAGGCACATCTACGGTCGTCTAGTGATGCGAATCCAGCTACCCGGTACAGTAGGGGTAGAAGGGTAGGCTTCATAAAACCGGTTATTATTCTACATGTTTCATTTAACACCGTGGTGACTTGTTGGACGTGTCTAGATCTACCCCAGATGGGACAAGCATATTCCCCTGTTGAGAAACATAAGGCCTCAGCTGTTGACTTCGAGACTTGGGGGGTTTGCACCCCACATGTTCCCTACAAGTTTCCGGAGAAGGTTGTTTCTCGTAGAAACCTTTTGTCTTGCTCTGACAGTGGAATTTATACGTTAGTGACCGGTCTAGTATCACTTCAACATATTTGGGCCTATCAGTATGTTTCAAGCGTTGTTCCTCCCAAGAAACATTCAGTTTTACATGCACCAGTTGGTTGTTGAGATGAAATGCACATACTTGGGTTTTAGAAGGGTTGGGCTTTAATGAGTTTTGTTTGTAGTAAGTTGACATCATGTTTAAAGCCTCTTCTATTGTCGACTCTACTTGTGTGAGTGTTTCCCCTTTACGGCTATACCAAGGTCGTCAGCGTAAACAAAACTCTCAGTCTGAGGGTGCATTGGTTGGACTTTGGTGTAGATGTTAAATAAGGACGGCGCCAGAATGCTTCCTTGAGGTAGGCCAGTTTTGGGGTTCTCCATCTGCTCTTCTTTCCATTTAGCACAACGTAGAAGCATCTATTACACAAATTTGTTAAATAAAATAACTTAATTACTGTCATACAAAGTAGTCGGTAAAGTACTGACTTTTTATTATATTTTTCTTACTCTACTCCAATCACTGCGTAAATAAATCTTCAAAACCTTAATTTTTGCTGCTTTTAGCAAAACTAACATTTAATAGAAGAAAATCAATTCGTCTATCTGCAATTGAAAGGGAAACTTTAAGTACCTATCCTTCTGCCGCTAATACACGTTGTCGCTATGAAAATTTGTACCCCCTGACAACTCAACAAAATAAATACTTTGACAAAAATAGCGGTAGCGGTTAGATCTGTTTCTGCTAACTGTAAATTTGTTCCCTATTTAAAGCCTTTGTGTGTCCCGCGGCTGTGTTACCAGACCTAGGAAATTTTCCCTATACCTAGGGAATTTTGAGCCAGCTTAGGGAAAAAGGGATTTTTATTAAATTCTGTGAAAAATCTAGGAAATTCTTAATATTTATAAGACCATTTTAAAAAATCAGTTGGATTTAATAAAGTTTCCAAAATTGCACATATATCATCTACTTGGAAATCGTATTATTCGGGGAATCAGTGAATTCTGCTCATGTGATTTCCCGTCGGAGAGTAGAGTGGTGAAATTTCACGAACCGCAAATTACGTCGGGGATCCACCTGGGCTAAAGTACAGAGTTACGCAATTGAACTGTTACCTATTCAAACGACCATAATTTTTTGTGTGAATTTATTTTTTATTGATTCAAATGACAAAAATGTGTGAAAATAATCAAAATTTTAGAATCCACTCACTTTAGCCCGATGTGGCCACCTTTTGCCTTGACTATGGCCTTCAAACGATCAAAAAACGAGTTGCATGCTGCACCAATGTGATATTTCGGTATTTTGGCCCATTCACGTATAATTGCTTTCTTCAGCGCATCCATACTGGCATATTTTTTAGTCCTCATCTTGCTCTCCAACCCGTGAGGGGATTGGACACGGCAAAGAAAATGGAATATGAGTTTCGCTACATGGAATGTACAGGGTATTAGACTGAAAACGGATATCATTGCATCAGAAATCCAGAAACTAAACATCGATGTAGTAGCGCTAAGAGGGACCAAGAAAAAAGGACATGGTACTGGAGTTATCGAAGAATATATTCAAATTTTTACTGGAGTTCTAAAGGAAAGAAGAGCAGCTAGAGGGGTATCCATATTAATAAAGAAAAACTGGAAAAGCAAAATTACAAATTAGGAAGCTGTAGATGAAAATATCTTAACGGTAAACTTAAAACTACACGGTCATAACATCGCCATTATCACGGCATATGCTCCATCAGACTACGACAGAATAGACATTAAACAGGAGTTCTTTGACAAACTTGACGAAATCCTAGGAAATATTGGAAAAATAGAGAAATTATAATGATGGGGGACTTCAATGGAAGAACGGGAAAGATGAACAATAGCCCAGTTGTAGGCCAATTTGGGGAAGAAGTAACCAACGATAATGGCCAAAGGCTGATACATATGTGCGAAACCCACAATCTCAGAATAAACAATGGATTCTTTAAACACAAAGATATTCACCGCTACACATGGACACAGAATACCCGCAACTTAAAATCCATCATTGATTGTGATAAGTAAACAAGAAACAAATATAGAGATGAACGACTTAAGAGTGTTGAGAGGACTTACTTGCGGATCAGATCATTTTTTAGTAAGAGCCAAAGTAAGAATAAAATTTAGAAGAACAAATCAGGCCAAAGATGAACATAACAACGATTCCGTACTCACCGACGAAATGTGTACAACAAAGTATAATTTTCAAAGTTTTAACGATGAAAGCACGGTATTTCTTTATCAGAGGCGCCTTGACAGCAAACTATCAAATGCGGAAGAATGCACCTTTTATGAAATCTATGAGAACGTTATCGAAAGTCTAAGAAATGCCACCAGAGAAGCAGTAGAAATAAAGGCAAAGGAGATCAACAAAAAATACTGGTGGAACGAGGAGATAGAGTTACTAATAGTTCAGGAAAAGAAACAAAAATATTTAAAATGGTTGGCAACAAAAAATGAACAAGATATGGAAGATGGAACAATCGTACAGTGATGACGCTAAAGATGAACACTATATTGCTACTTTTGAACTCCAAAAAGCACTGCCATACCCGAAATTGTCTACATCCATTGTATATTACAAATAAAATCTGTTATAACCTAGGAATTCATTCCTTCAACAAAAACAACGGCTTTATGTATGTGTAGGACGAAGAGATGGTGGTAGAGGATCTCAAGAAATATCTTCAATATTGACCATGCATCTGAAAAAACATACTCATTTTAAAGTTACTGACACGTTACTAAATCTTGTTTAAGATCCTTACATAAAAATAATAACTATAGATCACAAGTTTCTTGTATTTGGCTACTCCTTTTTGACAAACGACCGGTAATTTGGGGTTGTTGAAAATACTGCCAGAACATCTTCTCACATCTTTGGCCCAGACGACTGGATTAATGTAATAAAAACTTCGAAATTGACGGTGCCTTTTGAAGTAACTAACATAAAAAGGAGCGACATTGCGTCGACAAAGAACATAGATGTGCTTGTAAATAGAAAAAAGATAGTTATGGAGCACCTGCGAAGTGGTTAGAAATGAGATGGTTGATGTACGTATGAGAGAGAAGATACTTGGGTTTTGAAATACAAAACTACGCTGAATGAAGATTTTCCATTTTTTACTGTTGCGATGGCCAAAACAAATGTCTCAAAATTCATTTCTAATCAATGTCATCTGTACTCCACACCTAGACTCGTGACAGAAGCAAAGAAAAAGAACATGCTGTCTCTCCTCCCATATCTGCCACCACTCACACATTATCATTTTAAAAATCTCTGCATCAACACAGGAACCCGTTCACGAATCCCGCAAGACGATCATGAACTGGTCTATGATGATTAAAACTAATGCCACTTAAGCTGTGAGAGTATTATTGAACATTGTTGTAATAAGTTTTTTATTTGTTATTATTTTTTGTAACTAAAGTTCCAGTTTTGTCCACCAATCCACTAAATATTTCAGAGTAATAATGGATCAAGTCTAATTTTTTTCAAGAGTCTCGAACTATTTCCAAGCAGGTTATTTATTTAATACTACAAATAAGTTAATTATTTAAACTACATATTACATAAGAGGTTTTCACTTAGATTCGATTCGTTGGTATATTATGTAATAGTGGAGAGCTTGTTAACTTTAACTCTAAATATCTCTGACTTATGTATTATGGACATGATCCACTATGGTTCTAAGCGCCTTATACGCCTTATATATTGGCCTCGGTTTTTTTTTTCTTTTTGGTTTCTAGTTTCTCTTTCTGTAACTGTTCATGTGATTCTCCGTTGGTGACTAGAGTGGTGGTAATTCACAAAGGGCGAACTACATCGGAAATCCACCTAGGCTACAATATCTTAATACTTTGATATTCTTACCTAACAAATTTACGAACATCAAATAATACCAATCGAACAGAATTAATGTTCATAACCAAAAGTCCTTATTTATTCTACAAACAATTAAAAAACCAATATTTCCAACTTCTTATGTGACCTATACACACAAATTAGAAATGTTTGGTTAGGAGGCTTTTAAAAATCCCGCTCATTTTGACGTCAGACTTAGATGGTCCATTCTAGACTAAATTTGGTTGTCAAGTTGTTAGGAAAATCGAGGTAAATTTTGGCAAAAATTCTAGGAAATTTTTGGTGCATCTGACGAGCGGTTTTGTAGTTTTTAGTGCTGAGATCCACATTCTGTTGAGCTGCTGACCATAATCTTTACAATTAAAATTGATAAAGTTGTAATTTTGCTTTTCTTTTAGATGTTTATTCAGTTCTTGTTTAGCGTTATTCACGTATATTTTATATTTGGATCTCTTGTAGGCTCATAGTATTATTTTATTATATTACATTATTTTAATTTCTAATGAGTATTTAATTTACACATTTAGAATAAAAACTTTAGCATTAGCAATAAATCGATACAATATTTTATTTCAGGTATTAGTGCTCTCAAAAACTTGAAAATCCTTTCTTTATCAAGAAATTATATCAAAACCTTTTCTGGTTTAGAAGGAGTTGCTGATACGTTGGAAGAGCTGTGGATGTCTTACAATTTAATTGAAAAGGTTAAAGGAATTGTAGTTTTAAAAAAACTGAAAGTCCTATATTTAGGAAATAACGTTATTAAAGATTGGGGTAAGTTAATCATATATAAGTAGAAAAAGTACATTCCTAAACGTATTAACAAATATTGTTAATTTGCATTATTTTACGTAAAATAAATAAATTCTCTTGTGAGGATAAAATTCTTAACTTTAGGAAATTGGTAATATGTTTTAGGAGGTTTTGAGCTCCAAATAACAAAATTTTTTTACAAAAAAGCCGGTATATATTATATACAAGAAAAAAACGTAGTTAATATGCTTATTATTGGACACAAATCTAACCTCAATGTTACTCCCACCAAAAGAATAATATCTCTCATGTCGTTAGCCCATTAATGAGGAGAGTAGTTTTCCCATCACCATCAAGCAAGAAGACAAAAGAGGGAATGTAAAGGTAGTGGGGGTAAAAATATTGTTAGACAGGAAGTGCCATCTTGAGAGGCCACATTAAATAAGGAAAGAGAGTCTTTCCTTGTTTAAGAAATCAAATTTAGTCGGGTTATGTTATTGTTCCCAACTCCTTCCTGGGAGTTGAAAGGAGTTGGGAGAGGCCTATGTCCAAACATGGACGACAGAAGGCTAAGAAGAAGAAAAAGAAGTTATTGTTTGTCGCAACTGTCCCATGAAATCTTATTTATATTGAAATTTTTTAACAATTGTGTCACATTTTAGACTGTTATCGCTAATATTTATTTAAAGTTTCTCGTCTCGTCTAAGACACATTCTGAAAACTATTTTATAGCTACTGTTAATAAGTGTCGGAAAATTTAAATTTGGCGCATTCGCATTTCCAGATATGTCCGTCATCAGAGGCCACTTTTTTGGTTCCCTTTTCATAACGATTAGATTCCCTCTTTTGTCTTTTTGCTCGATGAGTTTTCCATATCATAGTTAACTAGACGCTTCCATTAGCTTCAATCTTCAGCTGTCTTAAGTGCTTCGCACATTGAACGACCAGAAGAATCCTGGATTTTCCCAGTCACCGAAGCGGTGATCGTGCCTTTACTTTCTAGATGCCCGAAGAAATAAAGAATTTGCTGTAAATAGCTACATACAGTGTTGTTTTAATATTAAGTTGGTGTAAAATGGACGTTTAAGTTTCGGTACCACACAGAAATATTGAGAAAACCAATATCTTAACTAGTCATATTTTGGTTACTTGGGAGGTAAATATATCTCGTGATATTTTAATTAAACGATTTCTTTTTCCACCTCCATTGTGTGTATTGGAAGCGGTTTTTTGCCTTCTTTTCTTGGCTTTTTGTTGGTAATGCTGATTGAATCTACATTATATTTAACGTTTAATTCCTCGGCAAGTTCTATTAGATCTTGGTCTGGTGGAAGCCCCCTGATTACCACGCTTGGGCTTATATCTTTTGTCAATGGAAATGTAATTCATTGGATCTTGGTTATTTTGCTGTATTCTTCAAGTATGTGTGTGACTTTATGGTAGTCTACAGCGTTTCTCGTGTGAATAAAGAATTCTTTGCTGTTTCTTGATATCTTTTTCAGCGTGCAAATTTTTTGTTCTGTTATTTTTATAATAGGCCCTGTTTTATTGACTGACTGTAATTTAATTACAGGAGGTTTAGCTTTCTTTTTTGTGATTTCTTTTACTGTTTCTTTTCATTGACTGGGTGTGATTTCATGTTTTTTCATTATTTTTCTTCGGTTTCTCTGTCTTTGCTCGACAGAGAAGGGAATTTTTCGTTGGACTTCTTCTTTTTTGCTAAGGCCTTAATTGGCTTAGCAGATTTGCCTTTTGTGACAGATGAATTTTAGCCGGCGCCGTTAACCTTTAGTTCAGCTTGTTTCTTTCCCTTTTTTATATGTAACTGTTTGGAAGTTTTCGTCTTTGGCTTCCACTTGCCTATTTGGTTCTGGTTGTTTACTTGTTTTCGGAATCTTCGTCTGCTTACTTGTTCCCAGTTTAGGGGATTTATCTCGTTTTTCTTTGGCTACAGTCTCTGTATCTGGCCTAATAATATTATTGTTTGTTAGCACACCAATGCGCTTCCCATTCAGTCTTTTATTTTCTGGGTCCCTTATTCCCTTATTATCTTCTCCAGATCTTATGTGCTTTCCGTAATTTGAAGATTTCATTGTTCATCTGCCATGGCTCACTTTTGAGGTTTGAACTCTGGTGAAAAGTTAAGTATACCTGAATGTGTAGATTGTGTAGAAAAGCGGAGATGTTTTTTTAAAGATATTCCATCACCAATTTCGTTTTATCCAATTACTGATTCACTTAATTTTTCAGAGACAATAATTGCAACAGCAGTTATACTTTCGTTCTCTGTAAAAATAAAACTTATTTTAAAGTCAAATTGTGGCTTACTCACAGTAAAAATGATAAATTACATTAAGATGCACCAAGAAAATAGCTTCAGAATAATATTTGTAGTTCTCCTCTGTGTCAATTCCTGAATATTCGACGTTCCTATTATTTGACTTTTCATAGATTTCTAGAAGGCTAGTTTTGCGCAAATATCTTGGTCAAATTCAAATTTAAGACTATACTGAACCTGTTTATATGCTGCATTCATAAATTTCTGTTGACACTAATTAAGATAGACACTCATAAACTTATGGTCTCTAGAAGTCATAGAATTGCTTATTACCTCTGAGTTCTATCCACTTTTAGTTTTGGTTAATTTCTTCTCGACGTAATATCCTTAAATATATTTAAGCAACATATATACAATAAAATAAAATTCCTAATAACTGATTAATCAGTTTTAAAAATAATTAGTTCGCTTATTTATTGTTTAAAATGATTTTAGGAGAATTTACAAAATTATCTGAGCTACCATCTCTAGAAGATTTACTATTTGTTGGCAATCCTCTTCATGAAAGTACCGAAGAAGCTGTATTTAGAGCTGAAGCTGCAAAAAGATTGCCAAATCTGAAAAAGTTAGATGGTGAACCGATACTCCGAGATGAAGAATAGTTGCTAATAGAATTATTGTTATATTGTTTTTAATCATAAACTCTTATAAAAAACATTGTTATTTATTTAATAGATAACTACACACGACGAAATATTTGTAATTATCTGTAAAATTAGTATTTTTATTGGAAATAGTCCACAATTTAAATAATTCTCCTTGTAGTAAACCGTAAAAATTTTAATTAAATTTTATACAACCATTTGCAAATAAACATGACACATTTATTAAAAATACACAACATGTTTTAAATAATTTGTCGAATATTGAATTTAATTAAAATTATAGTTTAGTAAATTTTGACATAAATAATTTATTTGCAAATGCTCCAATATGTTATATAAAAATTTAAAAATAATTAAAACAAAATTGATGATACATTGGCATATTGGAATATATTTCTGGAACATTTTGAAACAAAAATTATTTCTAAACAAAATTTAAAACCCAGAAAATGGTGAAGAGATTATGTAGATGATAGAAGAGATTATGAAGAAGAGACAATAACATTTACCATGGAAAAGGAATATAATAAAACACTACCTTTCCTGGATGTTTTAATCTCAAAGAACGATACTGATTATGAGACTCAGGTGTATAGAAAACCAACGCACACCAACACATATCTAAATTACAAATCAAATCACAATATCAATATTAAAAAGGGAATCATTAAATCCTTATACGAGCCAAAATTACTTGCTGTGGTGAAAATTCGTTCTTAGAGGACAAACATTTTTTAACATTGTTTTATTAAAACAAATGATTATCGTTTATAAATAAGGAATTTTTAAGAATCGACCAAATGGAACAGAACAACTTAGAACGGGGTCCTACAACATCCACAAGGAATAATACGAGGAAAATAACAACAACCTACATAAAAGGATTACATTGAGATCTATTTTCTCTAAAACTAAACCTAACAATGAACAAGAAAGAACAAAGAATTGTATTTATAAAATATCTTGTGAATGCGATCATTTTTATTTAGGTTAAACATAAGGCCATTAAATGTTAGAATAAGTGAACATCAATCTTATATTAAAAATAAAGAATTTAATACATCTCAAATATGTAAACACGCATAGGAAAATGAACATAGGGTTCGATGGCACGATTCAAGTATAGTCCTAATAGAAACAGATGGTAAAAAAAGAAAAATAAAAGAAACAGCTCTAATCATGCTGAATGAGACCAATTCCGTTGCAAATGCCTCGGCAGAATGCAGTAGGATCTGGTTCCCATACAAAAGAGGAAATCAATAAAAATAAATTACCACTATTGGAATTTTTCAAACGTACCAAACGGAAAATCACTTTTTCAGTGTTGTGTGAATCCGAAATGGTAAGACGTTAGTTGTCATGGACGTATAAACATAGATGGACACAGCAATAAGATACCTTTAACACACAATGTTTTGAAGCTTCGATAGAATGTGATGCTTCCGCAATGAGCATAAGCGTGCTTGAATTTTTACTCGCGGGTAATTATTCAGATTTTAAAAATTGGAAGTAGTAATAATGTATAAAAACACGTTCAAAGAATTATAAAAAAACGAGATTTTAACTATTAACAAATCACGTCTTTATAGAAAAATTAAAATACAATTTTATTTGCTTTAAAATTAATACAATTAAATATAGTTGAATTCAAGTTAATTTTTTAATAGTATCAAAATAATGCTACAATAAAAAATCTTTATGTTTTCTCCTTAATTTGCTACCTAAATAGTTCGATCGTCAATATTATTTGGAAACCTACATAGAAAAATAAATGAGTTTTATTCATTTCACTAATTTATTTGTATCCATGAGAAATATTAAATTAAAAAGGTACTAAACAGATCTTTTTTAATCAGATGATGTCTACTTACAATTTAAAAAGGTCTACGAATTTCATGAACTCATATCTTATTCAATACATTAATGAACATGAATAAACCCAATGGTACGCCTATTAAAATGTAAACAAACACGCTTCCTCATTTCCTCATCTTAAATAATGTAAATTGTATGTACTTACATATGAAATGAGAGATTGGGATGTAAATATTTAGTTTATTTTATTTCACTTTTCACAAATATCACTCAAAATACAGCCAAAATATCGAAAAATAAATTTTTTCTCATTTACTGTAAAAAGTAAACAAACATGGAATAGCATTTAAAGTTTGATGTAGATCCATAAGATAGACAAATGTAAACAACCGTTGCCATTTATAAATAGTTTTCAGTGCTTCTACATATAAAATAATTGATTGATATCTTATACGCTATTATTAAATGATAATGCACACTATGTGCACACTTGATATTTTGATTACAATTAAAAGTATATTAATATAACCAATAAATTATTATTTTGGTTTGATAGCACCCGTAGAGTATAAAATACGGAGTAATATTTTCAGCGACTCGCGAATAAGAAATTTTAAAACAAAACGTGACAATAGTTGAAGGTGCTCAGAATGTGACCTATTCAAATAATTTTGACTTCACAATTTTATGTAAATAACTGAGTCCATCTGTGTTTTTACGTCCATGTTAGTTGTAGTATTTCCCATTGTCTTCCCTTTTATGTCATTTACCTTTAACTGTTGCCTGTATTGTTTGTGTAAAAAAAAAAGTTGCTATGAAAGGCACCTTAGCGTGAAGCGTGTGTTCCTGTTCATTCCTTATGAACGAACGGTTAGGAAATTGTCAGAAATGAATTTAAAAGAAGGTCAAAGGAAGACCTAAGGCCAAAAAAAATTCGACTATTAGTAAGTCAATAACATGTCGAGGATACATCATTTATGTTTTTTAAATAGCATTCATATAAAATCAGTTTGGTGTTTATTGAGAGTAAACTAAGTGTAAGACCAACTATTGGGTTAGTGTGTTGTTAGCTTAGATTAAGATATAGGCGCCGGAGTTAGGCAACACAGATGACAGGGATGTCATGTGAACGTAGCCGAAGCTCGGGCAAGCATGTATGTTTGAGGGTTGAGAATAAACTGATGTTGTGAAGTAACGATTATTATTTGTAACCCCTCTTTGATAACACGACATGGTGGCAGCTGGTGCTTTGTTTTGTTAACATTAAACAAGCAAAGAGTGGTCGAACGTGACAACAGTGCAAATCTTATGCATAACCTATAAATCAGAGGGGACCTAAAATCCTTAAAATGGATGCACCTATCCAAATAAATAAAGAAGTGTTTGCGAACATTTCGGCTCCAAGCGAATTTGATTTTACACAGCCCCAGACATGGCCCCAATGGAAGAAAAGAGTAGAGAGATATATGTCTGTAAGTGGATTTGGACAAAAATCTGACAAGGATAAATTAGACCTACTGTTGTATTTAATGGGAAATGAAGCAGAAGATATTTTACTTCAAAATCAACCAGTGGAGAATGCATCCTTTCAAGATGTAATGCAGATTTTCGACAATCATTTTATTCCCCGAAGAAATACAATCTTTGAGAGATTTCAATTTAATTCAAGGGTACAAAGGCCAGGAGAACCTGTGGGAAACTTTATTTCAAGTCTACATACTCTTGCAGAGCACTGTAGCTATGGAGCTCTTAAAGATGAGTTAATTCGTGACAGGATAGTTATCGGAATAGCTGATAAAAAGGTGAGCGAAAGAATGCAACTAAATGATGGTTTGACACTAGAGAAGGCAATACAAATAGCACGCCAAGCTGAACTTCAAGATAGTCAAAATAGAATTATGAGACAGGAGCAGTCAGTTAGTGCAGTTAAACAGGACTACAGGGAGCGTAGTGATAAAAGACATCAAGGTAAGAGTTTTGCTAAACAAGAAACAACTCATGAGAAAGTTAAGGAAGGTTACAGATGTGGATACTGTGGCATACCTACATGTAAAAATAGGGAGAAATGTCCAGCCAAGTTCTCTGAATGCAGATCTTGTTCACGTAGAGGTCATTGGAGTGTGATGTGCAGGAAGAAAGCTGTCAGAGCTGTTAAGTGTTCAAGGTCCACCAGTAGCAGTAGTACAGATGACGAAGGAAGGGATTCAGTAAATCAAGTGGTACATACAGATTCCTTTATTGGCCAAGTGTACCTAGACAAGAAGGATCGTTGGTATGTAGACATCTTATTGGATGACAAATTTAAGGTACCTTTTTTTGTGGATACAGGAGCAGATGTTAACTGCTTTCCCTATGAAAAATTACCTCCAGAATATGTGGGTAAAATTGTGGCATGTGATGCAATTGGTGCAGCGGACGATCATAAATTGGACACAGTGGGTAAGCTACATATAAAATTTACTTATGACGGTTTTACAAATGATGAAACAATATATTGTATTAGGAAGTTGAGACAACCTATATTAAGCAGAGAATCAATCATTAAGTTTAATGTTCTAAATTTTTCTAATTGTAAGCTTAAACAGGTAAATCAAATCAGTTGCAGTGTTGTTCATTGTAATCAATCTGAGAGTACTAATATGTTTTCAAAATTTAATTTAGAGTCTGTTGCTAAAACATTTCCTGGTATTTTTAGTGATATAGGTGAATTTAAAATGGAAATGTCAATTAGAATTAAGCCAGATGCTAAACCTTATGTACAGAGCGTTCCCAGAACTGTTCCTTTACCTCTGTTACCAAAATTAAGAATTGAAATTGATAGATTGCTAAAATTAGGGATAATTGAACCCATTGAAGATCCTACTTCTTGGGTCAGCCCAATTGTTTGTGTGGACAAGGGAGATTGTGTACGGCTTTGTGGTGACTATACTAAACTTAATGAAAACGTGTTACGGTCACATTTTCCTCTCGGGAAAATATCTCATACACTAGCACAGTTGAAAGGGTCTAAATTCTTCTCAAAATTGGATACCACAAGTGGGTTTTACCAAATAAAATTGAATAAGGAAAGTCAGTTGTTAACAACTTTTATAACACCTTTTGGCAGATTTTTCTTTAAAAGGCTTCCATTTGGTATATCTTGTGCCCCAGAGTATTTTACTATGAGATTTTCAAAAATCTTAACTGGCATTGAAGGCTGTGTTGTCCATATAGATGACATTCTTA